AAAATCTGTAATCTGAGGGTGCAAAAAATCTAAATATTGAGAAAATTGCCTTTAAAGTTGTCCAAATGAAGTTCTTAGCAATGCATATTACTAATCAAAAATTAAGTTTTAATATATTTACAGTAGGAAATTTACAAAATATCTTCATGGAACATGATCTTTACTTAATATCCTAATGATTTTTGGCATAAAAGAAAAATCAATCATTTTGACCCATACAATGTATTGTTGGCTATTGCTGCAAATATACCCCAGCGACTTAAGACTGCTTTTGTGCTCCAGGGTCACAAATGATATTTTCCGGGCTGTTTCAGGTGATGTCCAGCAGTGCGGCGAGCTCCGCCATCACAGCGCTGTCACCTGGAGGGGTTCTGATGCAGGGCGGAGGCCAACAGACCATTAACCGTGAGTGTTTGACTGTCTGTTCATCCCATCATAATATCAAATGTTGCTTCAACTGAGATTTTAATGCAAACAGGCATTTTAAACCTCATTAAGCCATTTTACTGCCCATGAACTTGATGCATACTCTCTTTGTGTTTGTTTATGCAGAATTAGTGCCCACTGATGTTCAGAGCGAGCTGAAGCACTTATATACGGCCGCCGGAGAGCTGCTCCGACACTTCTGGTCATGTTTCCCCATCAGCACTCCCTTCCTGGAGGAAAAGGTGAAGAAATGCACCTTCAGTTACCAATATTTCCAAATTGAAATAATAAAGTATTTATTTGTGATTTGTTTTTTCTGCTCACAGGTGGTAAAGATGAAATCTAACCTGGAGAAGTTCCAGGTGATGAAGCTCCGCCCCTTTCAAGAGAAGATCCAACGGCAGTATTTGAGCACTAATGTAAGGCCACGCCCCTGGCCACACCCCCTCCATTTACTGTAATGGATTGTACTACTAGAGTAAACATGAATAATTAATGCTCGTCTCGCTGCTATTAGAAAGACAGCCCAGAATTGCTCATTTCTGGAACCGTGTGGAAGAACTTATGAATGTACTTGTTTGAATTCAGTGGTGGTCATTTTTAGATTTTCAGTTTTTGACATTTTTTATGAAGCTTTGTGACTTAACTTGTTATATGAACACAAAAAAATGTGGACATGATTAGAAAATGCTTTAAAAAAAAATAGTGACACTTGTGATCTTTGCAGTCAAAAAATGACTGGCAAATGAAAATGAATGGGAAATGCAAAAACAAAAATCAAAATAAAGAGCCATTTTTGGGGGTATAATCTACAAATCGGCCACAATGAAGCAGTCTTTCGTGCAGTTTAAATAGAAATACAAATGCAATACCTATTCGAAATTATTATAATTATGTCTGAAAACACTTAAAAGCAACTAGGTAATATATATTTGCATGTTTAACTTAAACACTGTATTAATGCAAAATAATATGAAATACGTTTCTAATATTTTGTATTATGTTGGTGCATAATTTAGAGTTAAATATTGTCTAGTACCACAAAATCCCCGCAAAATCCAAAATATTAAAGAACCAATATTGTTGAAACAAAATATTGTATACTTATTGTTTTTGGTCTGTTTTGACCACCAAGGATCACAACTGATGAGTTTTTACAGTTCAAAATAACCACTTTTAATGAAAGTCTATGTGGCGAGATATTTTGGAGGGTTTAAAAAACAGCTTGTACTTCTGTTAAACCTATTACGTGCATAAATGTGTTATTTTGAGGTCTAAAGTGTCTAAATTTTCTGATGTTATTCCTGTATTTAGATTGTGTCTTTTTGATATTTTTATAATCTACAAATCGGCCACAATGAAGCAGTCTTTCGTGCAGTTTAAATAGAAATACAAATGCAATACCTATTCGAAATTATTATAATTATGTCTGAAAACACTTAAAAGCAACTAGGTAATATATATTTGCATGTTTAACTTAAACACTGTATTAATGCAAAATAATATGAAATACGTTTCTAATATTTTGTATTATGTTGGTGCATAATTTAGAGTTAAATATTGTCTAGTACCACAAAATCCCCGCAAAATCCAAAATATTAAAGAACCAATATTGTTGAAACAAAATATTGTATACTTATTGTTTTTGGTCTGTTTTGACCACCAAGGATCACAACTGATGAGTTTTTACAGTTCAAAATAACCACTTTTAATGAAAGTCTTATGTGGCGAGATATTTTGGAGGGTTTAAAAAACAGCTTGTACTTTTGTTAAACCTATTACGTGCATAAATGTGTTATTTTGAGGTCTAAAGTGTCTAAATTTTCTGATGTTATTCCTGTATTTGGATTGTGTCTTTTTGATATTTTGTTCATATTGTGTGAACATTTACAAGGGTATACAGGCTTTGCAAGGTGGTGTAATCTAATTTTTTTCATGTGTCAGTATTTTTAACGTAATACTTTCCTGTGTTTTCTGATTGCAACAGCTAACGGGTCACCTGGAGGAAATGCTTCAGGCTGCGTACAACAAGTTCCAAGCCTGGCAGACGCGCAGAATGATGAGAAAAACCTGAGGAGACGGAGCGAAAGCCATGAAAGAGAGAAAAGACTGAATTTAAAGAAAATGGGAGAAGAACAGAGACACTCTCTCCCAGCTTGGGCCGACTGGAGCCTGATGGGCGGATTTTCCAGCCAATCAGAGCTGGAGGTGCTAGTGAGCACGTCTGCCTGGGGGAGGGGTTTGGAGAAGAAAATTCTGTAATCCTATTGGTCCATGTGGAGATGGGCTGTGCCAGTCACAAATAACTAATTATTTTCTTCTCTCTTTTCTTTGTTTGTTCAGTTCCGTTCCATTTTTTGCCTTTCCCGTTATTTTTTTTTTTTCAGTGGATAATTTCATTTCCTAGGTAAGATGTGAAATTTTAACAGTGTTGTATTTCTACAATGACCAAACTGGGCTCAATAATATCGGTGGAAACTCAGGAACTTATCATGTTTAATGCAAAGGACTCCGTTTGAGGGGAAAGCTTTTAAGTCAGTGATAAGGAGGACCCTTTACAAATCGGATATTGCAATTCAGTTCAACCCTCCCGAGACTTGAGGCTGATTGGAAAACAGTTGCTCAAGACATGCCAATGGGAGCGGATATAGCAATACTGTTAATAAATAAATAATTTCTATGTAGTGCATTTACTGATCTGTGTGTCACGAACACGCGCACACGCTCATCCGCACTGCTTAATAATGCGTCTTCTCTAGCTGCACTGAGTTGTGGATGTTATTGCAAATAAAGTCAAGATTTAAACTGTTAAACTGGTCTCGTGTGTTACATTAAAAGAGCTTCCTCAAAGTACTCCGTTACCCAAGTGTACATGCAGTGAGGAAGCTGTTATTCATTGTTCCGTTTCAAATTAATATCGTGCCATAGATAAGAAAGTGTGTTTGTGCATTAACATGCTTTTGTGTGTTAGACCAGGGGTTTTTAATCTTTTAGATGCCATGGTCCCTCACCATAAAATTTAAAAGACAGCTATATGTTGTCATGTATATTGTATAAGTGTATATTATAAATATGTGTAAAATACTATTTGGAAGATATTGAGTTTCTATTATGTTAAATTATTAATTTTTTCTACTCACTATAGTACTTGTTAGATGTATTACATTTTAAATAATTAAAAAAGTAAATTACATATATTACATATAATTTTGTACTAATAATCATTATTTTTATTAGTTTTAATCATTTTTATTTTTAATAATTAACATAAATGTAGAACAGTTACCACACATGTGGTTCTTCCATTAAACATTATTAAAATTAATACAAAATAAAAACCAGTAGTAATGATAATAATAATCTAATAATTATCCATTTATAAATTTATATTATGAATTTGTAAATATATATAAAATATAATATAAATTATCGGATTATTATTATTACCATTACTATTGTTTTTTATTTTGTATTCATTTTAATCAGTTTTATTTTTTATTTTAATCTGTATATTTATTTTTATTTTAATAAATAGAATTATGTTCTTAAACATGCTCAAAACCAAACTTTTAAACATATTTTGGGAAAAATTATAGTCATAAATATTACTATAAATATAATAAAATTTAATACGATTCTGCACCTTTTACAGTAGGTCACTAATCAAATCAAATGTGTCCAGTTTGTGGCATGTTACCTCCTTTGTATTGGTCTCAAGATAGCATGCAGCAGCACTGATGCAGTAATCAATACTGTTGTAGATTTTAATAACTTCTCAAGACCCACCATACAGTCAAAGTCTCTTTAAGAGTATTCTATAGTCTTTGACACAGTTCAGTAGTCATTATGTGCTTGAGTTTGTTATCTTTGTAACAAAATTCATACATCTATATCTGCATTTTAAACACATTTACTACAAGGTCATAAGATGGTTGAGGGTAGAGGCTTTGCTATTTTTGCTTGCTGTTGGAGCAGGCTTTATTCTCGTGGGCATCTCGAATATCAATCAATACAGCAAGAGCTTTTAATGGACCCATGGACTCCAATCTACTGCTTGAACACCTACGCGTCTGTAACACTTATTTGTTTGTAAAACAGATGTTTTTAGATAAAACTTGAACTTTTAATGCATAATTAGAAGATTTATTTACTTTGTTAATTTATTTAGTATGTAAAGCTCCCCAAGTAGCCTACTTGATGGCAAGTATTGTCCAAATGCGCCAGAAATAGTTCCCCGCGCTGAGTGTGTATCACTGCGCGTCACAGTGAGTGGAGTCTAATGAGGAAGTAGCGCCGGTCAGTTTTTCAGTCAACTGTCAAACACAACTTACAGCGGCACAAACACACATTATCCTCACTTTTTTACACACTATATAAGTCGGTTTTACTACACTTTTGGAGATTTCGCAGATTTAAATGCGCCTGGAGCTCAGGAGGAGGTAAAACGCGTTTAATTGATGTTAAATACTTTATAGAAATGCTTGAGGTGACACATTTACCAACTCAAATAAGTTCAGCTTTCTTAGTTGCTGAGTAAATAAGGTTTAAAAAGTATTTTTTTATGTTGCCTTAAACGTAAATGACATAACTTGAAGGATTTACTCATTAGGAGGAGAAATAGAAACTAAAAACGTTGTTGGATGTGAAAGTACCCGAGCTTCCAGCTCAGTATCAAGTTTCACATTTATTAAATTGTTTAAAGACACAACGTGAGGAACAAATTGAAACAAAAACAGGTTTATTCAATGTTTTATGCTGTTTTGGCGAGTTTTAAGCTCAGATCTCGTGATTGACAGTCATGCTAATCGGCTAACGCGTCGCTTTGATTTGTAACTTTTAACTTAAGATTCAGTATTTTACAAACTGAATTCTTGTAAATATTTGTTTCAGACGAAGAGGAAGTGGTCAAATGTGTGTATATGCATGAGCTGGTAAGCGTTTTTCTCTTCTGCCTACTGTGTGAAAAACAAATAAAGAAAATAAAAGTTCACAAATAACGTTAGATGAAATGTTATGCATCTGTCACTCGGATATTGGGTTTTTGTTGTGTATGTGGTTAATGTTATGCATTGTTTAATATTATATAGTTGATACAGTACTGTAGTTGTATATAAAAGCGACAGAAAATCACTAAAAGGAGGATAGGTGTGTGGTAGTCATGCTTTTTCAATTGGATTTCCTTGGAATCATATGACACTGAGTTGGGATGTGTCTCAAAACCTAGTGAGCTCACTGTGCTGACTACTGAGGGCACATTTTTGGGCATCATGAGAGTCATGTCTTTACACAGCCATGTTAACCTTCTATGATGTGCATTATGTTCTAACCATGACATATTTTTTTGAAATAAGTTTTCATAACATGAAAAAGCTTCAATCATACAAATCAAAACAGATTTTGGGAAAAAGAAAAAAAAAGAAGATGATTTTTTTGGGAAATGCTGCTATAGGGCACAATGGAAAATGTTCAGAAAAGTAGTTTTTCTATAAAATAGTTTTTTGAAATAAGTTTTCATAACATGAAAAAGCTTCAATCATACAAATCAAAACAAATTTTTGGGAGAAAAAAAAAGGTTTTGGGAAATGCTGCTATATGGCACAATGGAAAATGTTCAAAAAAGTAGTTTTTCTATAAAATTACGATTTTCTTTTTTATTTAAATGCACATTTATTTTAGAAATTGATAGATTTAGATACTCGGAACTCATGCAAACCAAAAATAAGTAGATCCCTATCATTTACCCTTCACTGAAGGCTAACTCATCCTCACTCTCATCACATCCTACTGGCTTTTCTGTAAAATATTGCTGTATTCATTTTTTTTTTTAAAAGAAGATATAATTTTGTTATTTATACATAAATGCAACTATACTACAATAAACACTTCAAACAAATAAATAACTGCAATCATATTATTGATGCTACTATCTATAAAAAATCCCATTGGGGCATAAAATTCTTTGTAAAGACACAGTGCTGCATAAAAGCCAGACTAACTTACGCTTGATCTAATTGACCTCAGTCCCTAGTATTAAAATATACAATGTTAATTGCTGTGTAAATGCATTTAAGCCACCTCTGAGTTATTTATACATAAATGCAACTATTACTACAATAAACACTTAAAAAAATAAATAACTGCAATCATATTATTGATGCTACTATCTATAAAAAATCCCAATGGGGAAATACATTGCTCTGGCTGCTCTGTCCCTGCATAAAATTCTTTGTAAAGACACAGTGCTGCATAAAAGCCAGACTAACTTACGCTTGATCTGATTGACCTCAGTCCCTAGTATTAAAATATACAATGTTAATTGCTGTGTAAATGCATTTAAGCCACCTCTGAGCAGCATTAAACAGTCACCTAAACGCCACTTCAGAAACACTTCTGTGCCACCTTTGCAGTGTAAATTTGGAGTATAATGACCTGTAGTGTTGCTGATTGGGCACTTAAATCACCTGCTTGAGTTTTTGTGCACCCCGTCACAATTTGCTGAATATTTGCATATCTTTTTGTGATTGATTGCTTGTTCAAACATGCCATGCATGCATATTTTGCCCAAAGCTGCTGTTAGGAATGCATTTATGATACAATGAAATGCTGTTTGTTTAGACAAACATGCTGCATGCACTGATTCCCACTAAAACAACCCAGTGTTATTGTTGTTTCCTCTCAGACTGGTGTAGGATGATTCCTGTGGTTCCTGTGGAGTTCTGCACTCATGTCCTGGCAGAGTTTGACTGTCTGGACCCCCTTCTTTCCGCCCTGCGACTGGACTCGGGACGGATCAAAGTAAACCACACGTTTACCTACTCAACTATTGTGAAAGACTAAACATTTTGAGTGTAACGGCTTTTGTGGCAACTGTTATTCAAACTGACCTGAATTATGGTTGGTGTTGTTTACTTTTCAGCCTGAAATAAGAATTATTTTACCTTTATCGGCGCCGATATTAAGCATTTTTATGGTTATCGGTATCGATATCAGTCATTTTCAAAACCGATTTGCCGATAAAATAATTTAAAAGCATTTAAAGAAAGTTTTTGTCAGAGCCCTTGTTATTCTTAATTTTGACATTAATTTTCATTTTTACACCAGACATATATAGTGGTTCAAAATATCGGTTATCGGTCAACTTTATCTGTAATAATCGGTAATGCATCGGCCATTAAAAACACATATCGGTCGACCCCTAATGGAGAGTAAGTGGATGAATCTAACAAAACATGTTTGGGTTGTCTTTCACCCAAAAACCAAAACGAAAAATATCTGAAAATATATTTTGCATGAAGAAAATTGCCATCACCATTTTTTGCATTGCAACATTACAGTATTAGCTTAAATTACTGAAATATAATGACAATATAATGATAATTTTAAAGATTTTTTTTTTTAATTCAGCAAAAATTAAAAGCAGTACAACAAATATGTATCAATTTAATGTATAAAATGTTATAACTAATATAAGAATACTCATTTAAATTTTACATATAATTAATTTTATTTGCATTTCAGTAATGAGGATTTTTTTTTGGTGCATTACATTAATGACAATTTTTTTTAATTGTCATGAAAATTATCTTCATAGCCCTTTTCTTTAAGCAAAAATATTTATATTATTATTTTATATTAATATTTATATTATAATGTTATTTATATATTATTTATATTATGTATTTATATTATTTTCTTTCTTGTTCTTGGCAGATTTTGTGAGATTCTCTCTAATATCTCGCTAATTCTCTCTAATGTTCTATCTGTTTCTGTCTTTGTATCTCGCAGTGCACATGTCTCTCCGTGTCCAGGAAGTGGTTGGCTTTAGGCACGTCTGCCGGAGGACTTCACCTCATTCAGAGAGACGGCTGGAAGCAGAAACTCATTCTCACACACAAAGTACACACAACTAAATCATTTCA